AAAAAAAAAAAAAAAAAAACACTTCAGGTGGTAATACACTATGTGCAGGGTAAAGTTTAGGTTTGACTTTACCTAAAATAAGGTGAAGGGTTACTTGGCTTTTAACAAGTCTTTTGAAAGCCTTCTAATTAAAGTAATAAAAATTAATAACTCTGTCACTAAAGATATTCATCACAAACAGCAAGAATTCACTATTTCAAGTATATTTTTCACTTGTTTGATTCAGATTAAGCATGAAAAGCTTCAGTTCAGGAATATTTTTAAATTAGTTATGGACCCTGCTGTTCCCTTAAACTCCCAATTCTACTCTCTAGCTCCAAGCAACAAGATTTCTGACAAATGGCAGTGTGAATTTTGGATTCACAGGTAGGGAAGAAGCATGTGTGGGGATAAGGTCTTTAGGTCTTGTACAAAGAGTCACATCAATTGTAGAAAAGATTGTAAATTGCAATAAGCTATCACTATTGTCATACAAATGTCTAGAATATAGTTTTAATACAACGATTTGAACTCAATGAGTGATATCAATATTAAAAATGAAACTAAAACTAAGTTTAAGTATCATCCACTTACCTCTTTAAATTCTGCTTTTAGCACACAGTGTCCAAGGGTTGATTGCCACTGGAGTTTCCTGCCACTGTGTTTACCTAGGTAAAATGTCTTGAAAATTTCCTGTAGTTTTACCATCTAAAGTACAAAATTAAGGCAACATTTTAGCTTTCCATAAAAATATCACACTCACTAATATTTTCACTTACCTATCTGCAATTTCTGAAAGTTTTAAATAATCCCAGTCACTTTATGTATGGTAATAATTTCCTAGTCACCAAATTTAATGTAATTTGTCAGTCATTATACTGATCTCTGAACCATTTAACTATTCCCTGTTATAACATTCACTTCCAGTGGCTTCTGTGCCTCCACACTATGCCAGTTCCTTTCTCTCACTGCTGCTTCTGCTCAAGTTATCATAACAGTTTCTTCTTCCGACCACTTGCCAAGTGTGTTCCTTTTCTGGGGTTAACTCAGGGCCTCAAAAAGCCTAAGCAAGAGCTGGGAACACACTCTCACCTTGAACCTTTTCAGAAGTTCTGGCTCCGTACATTTTTTCTTCTTTGCCTCTATATTCTTCTTAATGAGAGAAATCTACTTCCTGGGCTTCCAGGATCATCTCCATGGAAGACTCTCAGTATCTGCCTCCCTAACTTTAACTTTTCTAGCTATTTCCCCAGGAATTAGGATGAATTTACTCATGTACCCCTCACTCAGTAATCATGTCTCCAAGTAAAATATGGGCAAGAAAGTATTGACAAGCTGGACACCTATAGATCATGCCTGTAATCCTAGCTATTCGGGAGGCTGAGATCTGAGGATCACAGTTCAAAGCCAGCCCAGAAAGGCTGGAGACATCTCCACTTAATTACCAAAAATTTAGAAGTGAAACTGTGGCTCAAGTGGTAGAGTTAAGGAAAAATGCCCAGACCCTGAGTTCAAGTCCCAGTACATGTACCAAAAAAATACTGACAACTAGGGAGAGTGAGGGTCCTATATAAACTGGGGAAATAAGAGTTAAAGAAAGCCGGGTGCTGGTGGCTCATGTCTGTAATCCTAGCTACTCGGGAGGCTAAGATCTGAGGATCGCAGTTCAAAGCTAGCCTGGGCAGGAAAGTCCGTGAAACTCTTATCTCCAATAAACCACCAGAAAACCGGAAGTGGCGCTATAGCTCAAGTGGTAGAGCGCTTGCCTTGAACTGAAGAGCTGAGGGACAAGCGCTCAGGCCCAGAGTTCAAGCCCCACGACCAAAAAAAAAAAAAAAAGAGTTAGAGAAACTGACCCTTGATTTAGTAACCCAACATCACTCATTAACTATGAGCTAAAAAAGACTTAGAAATTTAAGTACAATGATAAAATATTAGCACTTAGTATTTTTTGTTGGTATGACTGCTAACATAAGCATTTTTAAAGCATCTATTTTTAAATGACAAGCAAAACGTATTGTGATTTCCATGCCTATATCTTAAGTCCTAAATAGCAAATCTTACCTCTGGTGGCAAATGGACTTCCATAGGCACATATGTTGGCCAATAACCCATTGTCAGGATATTCACAGTTAATTCAATATTCCCAGGAACATTCTGATTCTGCATATACTATAAAAAGATCAACACAAGCAATGAGATTGTACAATAAAGTACATATTGTTCATCTCATAATACACATTAAAGAAATTTCTAACAGGGTGCTGGTAGCTCACAGCTATAATCCTAGCTACTCAGGAAGCTGAGATCTGAGGATCACAGTTTGAAGCCAGACCAGGCAAGAAAGTCCATGAGCTTCTTATCTCCAATTAACCACCAGAAAACCATAAGTGGAGCTATGATTCAAAGCAGTACAGTGCTAGCCTTGAGCAAAAGAGCTCAGGGACAATGCCCAGGCAGACCCCATAACCAACAAAAAAAAGAAATTCCATACAAGGAACTACATGTGAATACTGATTGATCATCCTGAACATAAAAGAGTATTAAGAGGACTTTAAAGGAAGTCTACACAAAATGCACTAGAAAAGTACAGAGATTACCATTTTGATACATCTTACTATTGTTACTCTAGGCATTATTAACTTGACTAGTTTTTCACATACAGCTGAATAGGATGTCTTCTCCATTCTGCCCCCCCCCCAATGCCACCTGAAGTCCCCACTTTTGGAGACTAATATTGTGGCTTGGAACACCTTGCAGCAACCTCACCCCACAAGACAGCCCAAGTCTGAGATTTTTCACCACCTGCTTTCAGGAGGCAACCTGAAGTGGGGAAGGAAGAGGAAGGGTATGGCAAAGCTTACAAATCTTATTCTATAGCTACTACAAGATCCATGATCCTACTGACACTGATTTTTTCTTGTGTCTTTCACTTTCATTTCCCAACTTACCAATATAGTAATTAAAAAGTCATCACTAAAACTACAAAGGTGAAAAGTCTAAATTGCTATCACTATCATCAATGCTATCATTGCTCTTATTCTTTGAGACAGGGTCTTTCTCTATTTCCAAGGCTGGTCTCAAACTCCTGGATTCAAGCAATCTTCCCATTTCAACATCTCGATTACTGACACTATACATAGGTCCACATCACTATACCCAGTAATGTTATTAAATATTTCAAAACTATTTTCTATCTACATGTTTAAAATTATAAATCCAGCTGTTCATCCCCAATATCCCAAGAAACTTCATAAAACTATTTTATCACCTCTCTTTTCTCTCTTCATTAAAAGCTATGAACATGCAAATTACTGAGTGATTAGATACTAGGAAAAACACTGTTCCCACTATCTAGCTACAATATTTCTTATGTCGACTCATTTCAATAAATTTTATTTCTATGTTTCTGTTATAATGGGTGTTTACTGAGAAAAAAATCCTAAAGTAGGTCAAATACACTTACATTTCATTGATGATCTTTTTCCTTTGTTATGATTATCATTTAAGTGACTATGAAATATTTACAACAAATACAGGGATGTATAATCACCAATATAAACTCCCACAGGAGATAAATGTATTTAAGTTTGAGGAATTAAGAGTTTAACTCACTTTTACCTGTTTGAACTGAATCATGATGTCTTTAGAAAGTTCCATGTCTTTAAACATTCCTTCAAGTTTGCTGGTGAAAGCAGCTCCACATTCTATTAAAAATGTTTGTACATTTATGGCATTTTTTGGTAGAGAAACAAAGAATTTTAAATGGGAAACTTACTTTAGCATGAAATATGATCTATAACTATTTATAATAAAAAGAACTCTTTATCCACAATATATGCCCCACTACTCCTGTAACTCCTTAGTCTGGCAGTAATCTCATCTACTATACAGATGTAAGATAAAATTTTAGACAAACAAAAATTAAGAATAAGCTGGACGTCGGTGGCTTACACCTGTAATCCTAGCTGGTCAGGAGGCTGAGATCTGAGGATTGTGGTTCGAAGCCAACCTGAGCAGAAAAGTTCCTGTGTGACTCTTATTTCCAATTAACCACTCAAAAAACTGGAAGTGGTGCTGTAGCTCAAAGTGATAGAGAGCTATCCTTGAGCAAAAAAGCTAAAAGAAAGCACTCAGGCCCTGAGTTTAATCCCTATGACTGACCAGAAAAATCAAGAATAATGTTCTAGTTTAAAAGGGCAACAGCTCTGGACATAATAAATCAGAAACCCCATGAGCTTGCTCAATTGTACTTGTATCACTTATACATAAAATGATTGACAAAAAAGGCAATCAAGGAAAAAAGAAACGGCAAGTTAACATTTTCCCCAGATACCAAGAAAAGCTGGACACTGGTGGTTCATACTTGTAACCCTAACTACTAAGATCTGAAGGTCCCTGTTGAAAGCCAGCCCAGGTGAATACATCTGAGAGATTCTTTTCTCCAATTAACCAGCAAAAAGCTGGAAGTGAAGTTGTGGCTCAAGTAGCAAAGCACTAGCCTTAGGCAAAAATACCCAGGGACAAGCCAGGTGCTGGTGGCTCTTGCCTGTAATCCTAGCTACTCAGGAGGATGAGATCTGATGATCGAGGTTCAAAGCCAGCCAGGAAAGTTCCTGAGACTGTTATCTCCAATTAGCCACCAGAAAACCAGATGTGGCACTGTGGCTCAAGTGGTAGGGCACTTGCCTTGAGCTGAAGACCTGAAGGACAGAGCCCAAGCCCAGAGTTCAAGCCCCACAACTGAAAAATAAACCACTCTGGGAGAGGCTGGGAAGGTGGCTCAGTGGTAAAGTGCTTGCCTTGCATGTATGAGGACCTGGGTTCAATTCCTCAGCATCACATAAGCAGAAAAAGCAGAAGTGGAGCTGTAGTTCAAGTGATAGAGCGCTAGCCTTGAGCTGAAGAGCTGAGGGACAGTGCCCAGGCCCAGAGTTCTGGCCCCACAACTGAAAAAACCCCAAAACACTCAGGGACATTGTCCAAGCCCTGAGTTTTAAGCTCTAGGACCAGCACACTCACACAAAAAGGAATCAAAGAAAAGAGGGCTGGGAGTATACATAAAGTGGTAAAGCACCTGCCTAGTAGGCTTGAGACTCTGAATTCAAACCCAAGTACCACCAAAAGAAGAAAAAGAAAGAAATCAAAGAAAAAAATAAGAGAATGGAACATACCATGCTTAAGTTTGGACAGCATTGATTTTTCAGCATCTACAGATGCACTCTTCCCAACTAACAGGCGTTTGGCTAAATCTTTCTTATAGAAGGCCTCAAAAACATCCTTGCCTATATAAGTAATAAATATAACACACAATTTAAGTGTTGACAAAATGACTGTGAAGGACTTAATTATTTCAATTTATATATGTTGTATGAGTTTTTTAAATTCAAAAACATAAAAAAGGTCCAGCTCATGGGAGATATTTCCAAAGTTCTTTACTATAAAGAATTAAAGCTACATTAACTGTTCTTAGAAAAGCTTTTGTCAACTAGTAGCATTAGCACCAAAACTCATAGATTAACATAAACAGCAAAAGTCTAGATTCTTTATTGTGAAAAGTCAAAGCACAAGACCATTAAGTAATATTCCTCCAGTATTCCCAATTAATTAAGCAAGGAATAAAATACAATTTTAAATGTCTAATCTACAAATAGTCTCTCCAGGCTACATATACTTGCTATTTGTCAGTGTTTTGTTTTAAAATGTCGGGGAAGGGGGGGAGGGAGGGCTTGGGTAGGTGGGGAGGGAAGTGATGGGGGGGGGAATCAAAGGAGGAGGTAACAATGCTCAATAGGAAATGTACTCATTACCCTATTCATGTAACTGTAACCCCTCTGTACAGTATATTTACAATAAATATATATATATATAAAAGAAGAATATTAAAACTGTAATAACTACTTACCATAGATAAATCTAAATATGATCATGATTTTATCCAACATTTTCTCAAGTTCTTCATCTGTAGCTTCCTTGTTTCCTGCACGAAGCTTTGAGTCCACATACTTAGCTAAAATGAGAAAGTTTATTGTTTAGTAACCATCAATATCCACAAGGCACTGAGCAGTACACAAACTCAAGTAGGAGTATAATACACTGTTTTCTGTGCTTAGATGTTTGCATGTACGTGCATATGTACATACGCATACATGTGTGCATACATATTTGCTTTATTTTTATCTTTAAGTAGTTGCACAAAGGGGTTTCAATTCAGTAAATCACTTTATAAGTACTATGTATCTTGACCAATGCCACTGCTTCTACTGTTCTCCCCTATCTTTCCCAACCCCATCCATACCCTCAAGTTCCATTTTTCACATGTGTACATTGAATATAACAACTGTACTCATCCACCCTTTCTCTCTCACAGAGCGATAAATAGCAGAGCCAAAAACTCAAACCTTAGTCTTCTGACTCCAGATTGACTATATTTTTGCTATCATAATATTTATTAAATGGAGTATGGCCAGGAACTGCTGGCTATCATCTATATTTCTAACAACTCAGTAAACTGAGATCTTAGAATTGCAGTTCAAAGCCAGTCTGGGCAGGAAAGCCCATGAGACACTTACTCCCAACAAATTACTCCTAAAAATGCCAAAAGTGGAGCTGTGGCTCAAATGGTAAAGTTTTAGCCTTTTGAGCAAAAAGATCAGGGACAGGGCCCAAGTCCCAAGTTCAAGTACCAGGACCAACAGCAACAGCAACAAAAAAAATGGAGTATATACTGGGTGCTGGTAGCTCACATGCATAAAAATCCTAGCTATTCAGGAGGCTGAAATCTTACAATTACTGTTCAAAGCTAGCCTGGGCATGAAAGTTTGTGAAACTCTTCAGCTCATCACCAAAAAGTCCAAAGTAGAGTTAGGGCTCAAGTGGTAGAGCAATGTCCTTAAGTAAAAAGATCAGGGACAGCACCCAGGCCCTGGTGGTTCATGCCTGCAATCCTTGCTACTACTCAGGAGGCTGAAATTTGAGGATTGCACACAGTTCGAAGCCAGCCTAAAGTCCATGAGCCTCTTATCTGCAATTAACCACTAGAGAACCGGAAGTGGTGCTGTGGCTCTAAGTAGCAGGGTGCTAGCTTTCAGCAAAAAAGTTCAGGGATAGTGCCCAGGCACTGAGTTCAAGCTCCATGACTGAAAAAAAAATGGAGCACAGAAACCCAATGAGGGAAGTTGCATATAGTGGGAGTAATCAAAGCCACCAAGATCTGGGGTATCTTTGGTACTTTCCATTTTACATTCATTGTAAATATTCTTACCAATTATATTCTTAATTTTTATTTTGAGACAAAATCTCTCACCATCTAGCCCAGCCAACCTTCAAACTAAGGATCCTTCTGGCTCAATCTCCTGAGTGTTGGGATCACAGACATGTGGCACCAAGCTCTGCTAAAATTAACTTTTATTGAAATAAATCAGATACAGAGTAGAAGGTAAAATCTGCAAAACTTTATTTTTTGCAAGTATTGGACTTTAAACTCAGAGCCTAGGCACAGTCCCTGAGCTTTTTTTGCTAAAGATTAGCACTCTCCCACTTGAGCCACAGTGCTATTTCCAGTTTTTTCTGTTTATGTGGTATTGAGGAATTGAACCCAGGGTTTCATGCATGGTAGGCAAGCACTCTACCACTAAGCCCCATTCCCAGCCTCTGCAGAACTTTTAAAAGATAAACAGATTTCAACAAAATTTCATCATTTTGACAGGGGAGCCTAGAACTTTCCAGTATATAAGTAGACTCAGACAATTACATTCATTTTCATTCAGTAATTTCATGCTTTCTTACAGCTTGATGTACCTCTAGAAACAACACCCTACCCCAATTCTAAGTCACAATGGCTTAGAAAAAGGATAACCTAGTTTACTGTCAAAGTAAATAGAGTCCAATGTACTTCTGACAAAGAAGGTATGCCATGTTTGTATGTGGCTTTGAGATGTTCTTTAGCTTGAATAACTTTATTCTTTACATTCGTGTCCTGAGAGATACTTTGGAGGGGGATATTACTAGATAAGCAACCCCAAATAAAGCTAAATTATAACCTTGCCAAATTTCAGACTTTAAGATTTTTTTTAACAAAAGAACACTAGATTATCACAAAAGGACTGAAAAACATACCTATAAGTTCAGCAGGTTTATTTGGTCTTTTGTTAATGAATGTTTCAAATGCCTCTTTCATGGCATTGATAAATTTTTCATTCTTCAGAAAGCAGATATCAATTATATGGTCAACTTTATCTTTAAAATCCAGCAATTCTTGAACCATGGTTTTATCTTTTTCAGGATTAATAACAATAGTACTCCCAAAAGCCTAAAAATAAAAAATGGCTCTTTTACTAAAACTGATTATCTTAAGTGAAAACTACCCAAAATCATAGTGTAAGTTGCCATGTATATTTGAAGAACCTAAAATATTAGATGTTTCTGAAATGAGGAAAATATCAAAAGTGATACCATTAATCTATAATTACAAAACTAGTAAGAATGACCACCAAGGAGAAAATATCCTACAAGGGTGTTATTGGAAGTTTCTAAGATCTTTTCCTTATAAATAAGGCATCTATGAAAATTGTTTTGGGCTAGTAAATTGGCTTGAACTCAGAGCCTTGAGTTTTGCTTAGCTTTTTGTTCAAGGCTGGTGCTGTACCACTTGAACCATACCCCCAGACTGGTGCATGCACATATGCACATGCAAACACACATACACACAAACCAACAAATAAGTTAAATAAATAAGTAAAATACAAATAAACAGGTGAGTGTCAGTGGTTCACACCTAAAATCCTGAACTGAAGAGGCTGAGATCTGAGGATAGCATTAGAAGCCAGCCTGGACAGGAAAGTCCATAAGATGCATATCTTCTTTTTTCTTTTTTTGGTCTGGTTGTGGGGCCTGAACTCTGGGCCTGGGTGCTGTCCCTCAGCTCTTCAGCTCAAGGCTAGCACTCTACCACTTGAGCCACAGCGCCACTTCTGGCTTTTTTTTCTTTTTGCTTATATGGTGCTGAGGAATCGAACCCAGGGCCTTGAGCATGCAAGGCAAGCGCTCTACCACTGAGCCAACTTCCCAGCCCAAGATGCATATCTTCAATAAACTAATTTTTTTTTAAAGCCAGATGTGGAACTGTGTGACTCAAGTGAGAGAGCCCGAGCCTTGAGCACAAAAGCTCATGGACAGCACTTAGGCCCTGAGTTCAAGCTCCAGGATAACACAAATAAATAAATTGGGATTTTAGAAGAAATGCTTAAATGCTTTTCTGGGTATGTGAACTGGGTACATAAAACATAAACCATTAAAGAAAAACTGACAGTTAAATTGTTAATACCTTGATGTATTCAATCCACTGTTGCAAGAGAACCTGAACTCCACCTCGAACTCGGCTAAAGAGCTGATATAGGAGAGATAAATCTTGAATTCGGTTTTCATCAAGGAGGTTATTTAAACCTGAATTTTGAGAGATTTTGGCATTAAAATACAGTAGACATACAAGTGAAAAAATTGTACCTGCTTTAATGAAATTTAAAATTGTTAATGTGATATTATTGGTTTGACCTATAAATGGTCTGTATGTAAATTAGAATATAGACATTTCCTTTAAATTAAACCCAAACTGACCACTTTTCTGAGTGAAAATTATTATGATTATTTTGGTTACTATGAAAATAGTAAAGTGCAATAACCTCAAAAAAATAAAGTATCTAGGAATTAACCTAACCAAAGATGTAAAGGGTCTATTTCATGAAAACTATAAAAGCCTAAAAAAGGAATCATAGAGAGTACCAGGAAATGGAAAGACCTCCCATGTTCCTGGATAGGCAGAATTAATGTAGTGAAAATGGCCATACTGCCAAAATTGATATACACACTCAATGCAATTCCCATTAAAATCCCAATGACATACTCTAGTGAAATAGAGAAAACACTCCAAAAGTTCATATGGAACAACAAAAGACCTAGAATAGCCAAAGAAATTCTAGGCAAAAGAAACAACGCAGGAGGAATCACGATACTGGATTTCAAGCTCTACTATAGAGCCATAATAACAAAGACAGCTTAGTTCTGGCACAAAAAGAGACCTGAAGACCAATGGAACAGATTAAAGGACCCAGAAATAAAGCCACATATGTTGATATTTGAGAAAGGCACCAAAGACATACAGTGGAAGAATCATAACCTGGTCAACTACTGGTGCTGGGAAAACTGGGTGGCCACATGGAAAAAACTGAAAGTGAACCCTAGCCTGTCACCATGCACTAACATAATCCCAAAATGGATTAAAGACCTTCACATCAAACCTGAAACTCTGAAACTACTACAGGACAGATAGAATAGAAGAGACATTTGAACTTATAGGCATAGGAAGGAACTTCCTGAACAGAGTCCCAGGGTCACAACAAACTGAAGAGAGACTCGATAAATGGGACTACCTTAAAATAAAGTTTCTGCACAGATAAAGAAATAGCAACCAAACTTGAAAGAAAGCCCACTAATTGGGAAAAAAATATTTACCAGCAATATATCAGACAAGGGCCTAATATCCATTATATACAGGGAACTCAAGAAACTAACCCCTCACAAATCTTACAAACCGATCATGAAATGGGTAAGGGAACTAAAGAGAGACTTCTCAGAAGAGATAAAAATGGCAAAGAAACACATGAGGAAATGTTCATCATCCCTGGCTGTAAAGGAAATGCAAATAAAAACAACACTGAGATACCACCTTACCTCAGTCAGAATGGCCCACACCCTAAATTCGACCAACAACAAATGCTGGAGGGGATGCAGAGAAAGAGGAATCCTACTGCATTGCTGGTGGGAATGTACACTAATACAACCACTTTGGAAAGCAGTCTGGAGGTACTTCAGAAAGCTAAATATAGACCTTCCCTATGACCCAGCCATACCACTCCTAGGCATCTACCCTGAACAACAGGAACCAGTATACAAAGACACATGCACCTCCACGTTTATTGCAGCACTGTTCACAATAGTCAAGATTTGGAAACAATCCAGATGCCTCACTACTGATGAGTGGATCCAAAAATTGTGGTGCCTATATACAATGGAATATTATGTAGCCATTTAGAGGACAAAACTATGGCATTTGCAGGAAATGGATTGAAATTATTTTGAGTGAAGTAAGCCAAGAACAAAGAGACAAATGGCACATGGTCTCACTGATATATAGATGCTAAAGCCAAAATGCAAGAAGATATGACAAAGTAAACAGGACTGCCACCTATTTTGTCATATCATTGCTAAATGACTCCATGTTCTTGACCATATATATGGTAGATATATGCATGCAACAGAGGAAAGCCAGGAGGAAGAACAGAATAAGTGGGAAACGAACCACATGCAACAAAGGGGCCCATCAGCTGCACTGGACATAGAAGAAAAAGAACTAAGCAACCCAAAGACAGTGATGGGAAGGGAGGAATGAGAGGGAAAGAAAGAACAGCCTACACTAAGCAAAAGGAAAGAAATGTAATCATCACCTGATGTGGAAGAAATTATTTGTATTGTCAAAGCTCATATAATTCACAAACTTTATAGACCATGATAATGACAATGTGCCTTGTGAAGGTTAAAATGTGTTTGTAACTTTAACTAAGTATCGCTATTCCACAATAATGTGAAACATGTGAAATTTATGTAATCACCTAATCTCAATTAAAAAAAAAAGTGGCAAAAGGGATGGGTTAGGAGCAATGGGTGACAATGTTGTCAGACACCTTGTACTCATATACTGTTTTGTAGAATGGGAACTTCTTTGTATAATTACTTAAAGATATTAATAATAATAAAATGTAAAATGTAAAAAAAGAAAAAAAAGACAACTCAAAAAAAATAATAAAGTGGCACTGTGGCTGAAGTGGTAAAGTGCTCGCCTTGAGCTGAAGAGCTGAGGGACAGCGCCCAGGCCCAGAGTTCAAGTCCCACAACTGACAAAAAAAAAAGAAAGAAAACAATGAAGTAGACGCAATAGCTGACTCCTGTAATCCTAGGTACTTGGAGACAAAGATTAAGGGGATTAAATTTCAAAGCTGGCTAAGCCAAAAAGTCTGTGAAACTCCACCTCAGCCAATATAAAAATGAGCATAGCAGTGCTGTACACCTGTCATCCTAAATACACAGGAAGCATAAATAAGAGTTAACTGAGGTTCAGGTCATCTTGGGAAAAAATGGAAATTCTATTTGAAAAGTTACAAAGGAAAAAAAGTTGGAAGTGGGGCTCAAGTTGTAGAGTGCCAACCTTGAATGAAAAGAACAAGCAAGAGCATAAGGCTCCAAGGTCCAGACCCAGTACCAGTACAAGAAAAGAAAAAGTTAGCTGAATTACTGTTTGTGTCATTTACATGATGGACTAGATATATAAACCAATGTTTAAAATCTGGCTTACATAAATTTTCATTTCAAATATACATATGCAGGGCCACATTATAATTAGCACTAGTATATGTACTTATATTTTTGAGTATTGAATATGGACTATGATAAACCAAAAGCCATACATAAATAGGGGAATTTAACTGTTCTAATATATCTGATTTCCCAAACAAAATAGTAATTGGACTACATTAAATTTCTAACTATATCACTTAAAAGAAAATGTTGTTGGCAACATTTTGCCTATTTATATCATTGTTAAATTAAAATTCTGGGTATGCCATAAAAACATCTAGAATTAGGGCTGGGAAGGCAGCTCAGTGGTAAGAGTGCTTGCCTTCCATGCATGAGGCCCTGGGTTCAATTCCTCAGCACCACATAAGAAGAAAATGCCAGAAGTGGCGCTGTGGCTCAAGTGATAGAGCACTAGCATTGAGCTGAAGAACTGAGGGACAGTGTCCAGGCCCAGAGTTCAGGCCCCACAACCAGAAAACAAAAAACAAAAATAAACATCTAGGATTAATAGAAGTGCTTGGCTATATAGTCTAAGAATAAAAGAAAACATACAAAAGAAAAAAAACTTGCAAAAGGAATGACTTTCCTTACTTTAGTCTTCATACATAAAGATTCCCAAATTTCCAGTTTTCATGTTTTGTAGTGCTGGGGATAACTCTGGGCATGTGCTCTTATCATTAAGCCACACCCTCAGGGCCTTTAGTGTTTCTTTATTGGTACCAGTGAACTCTTCTCAATTCCTCTTTCACTTAAGGAAACTAGTACCTCCAGAAAATTTTCAACGTTGAATAGGGGAAAGGGTTGTCTATTCTCAGAAATGTAGCTCTCAAGCTTTTAAAATGGCTAAGTGTTTACAATTCCCTACTCAGTTTGTAATTAACATTAAAAATACATTATTGGCAAATTGCCAATTACCTTTCTGAAGAATTGCTGTTAAGTGTTCACCTAGAAGTTGCTTTTCAACAGTAGCAATTAATGATTTCCTACAAGGGAAAAAAATTTAAAATGATTGACATTGGCTTCCCTGAAAATCAAAGCCTCTTATGAGGAAAAAAAAAATCAAACAGTTCATTATATTTATGCTAATTTTGATGTTTCCCATCCAATGTGCCAAATTAACTGTGTTCAATTACTTTACTTTATGCACAGAAGAAGAAAAACAGTGTATTTCAAAATTAGATTTAGTAAATATCTCCATGATCTTGCTGTGGCTGTTTTTTTTCCAAGTTTCTCTTTTTATTACAAAAGTAAATAAGTTATCTATGCTGTTTACTGCAACTCCCTGAGAATATTTAGGGAAAGTACAGAAAGTTTCTCCTGTGAACACCCTAAATACTTAAAAGATCACATCAGCCTTTAACATCATTTTAAATTACAATTTAAACACATACGACCAACAATCAAATCCTTGATCAAATCCAGTTAACTAGAGAAAATAATTACTTGAAATTTGTATTTATAAAAACAACAGTTAAAAATCTAAATCACACCTGAAAAGTATTTTTAACATGTTTAAGATACCTAAAATGCCTTAAGAGATTTCCTAACAGTTTTAAAGTATTAGGCTGAGCATGTAATACTTACTGGGTGGTCTGATCTAAGTAAGTAATAAGTCTGTCTGCTTCTTCTTCTAGACGTTTGTTAACATGATGAAGATACTCAGGAACCTACAAAGATAGTTTTTTATATTATTGTTTTCCGCCCCTTAAATCATTCAGAAAATGTCAAGTCCAAAAGATCCTGGGAGCAGCCCTGTCAAACTGTGACAGGGGTGAATCATATGTAAAATTATAGGTAGAGTTTATGATCCAGAATTCTGGCCTTTAAGAAGAGAGAAAAGAAAGGAGCACCTAAGTGAGAGAAAAGCAGCATAATGTTGGGAAGATAAATGTATAGGGAAGTTTATATTCTACAATGTAAGGTCTATTGTTAGAGAAAGTGGACTTATTAAACATGACTTTTAAATACCTCTCTTTCTTGCATTAACTTTTGGCCTTCAGCTGCATAGAGCCTGTTAGTTTCTTCCAAAAATCGCTGTTCAAAAGAATCTTGATAAATCTGGCAGCAGGGAGCAAAATGAAGTTCATTTATTCAACAAATATTTATTGAATGTCTTCTATATGAAAAACACTATGAATGTGGGTACTAAATCATATCTATAGGCAGTGAAATAACTTACTTGCAAATCAGAAAGCATGCTTAAAAGGCTTCGGAGTAAACTTCTATCAATTGCTTCACCATTCCTCTCCCTCTCAATCAAGAGAAGAATGCCATCAATTGTCTTATTCTGGACTTTTTGATCACTTATAATATGAGCCCTAAATAATTCTAGTCCCATGTCCCTAAAATTAAAAAAAAGTAAATTAATTGACAATACCATTTCTGAATAGCCTTGCTTAACTTCTTACACATTAATTAGGATTCTAGGCTTCAAAGGAAAAATTGTAAAAAGTTAAATCCATATTAAATTTTGAAAAACATTATTAAACATACAGAAAACTCATTTTTGTCTTTAATGAAAACTAAATTCCTGTCTTCCTCCATAATTAAGTTTTTATTATTTCCTCTGGTGGAGGAAATTATATTATCTCCTGATAACATTTGATTTCACCAAGTCAAGAAACAATATTAATTCAAAAAAGCAGGGCATTGTGGTACATATTTGTAATCTCAGCATTCAAGAAGCTGAGGCAGGAGTATTGTGAATTTGAGGCCAGCCTGGACTACATAGTCAATGTCAGGTAAACCTGATCTACATAATGAGACCTTGTTTCAAGAAACAAAGAATTAGTTCAAACACAAAACTATTTTCACTGTACTGGCATATTTAGTCACTCACTAATGGACTTCAGTACTACAAAATCAGATTACGACTACAGATAATTAGGCACATGGTATGGGAGTTTACCATATCACTTTTGTGTGCACATCAATTTTTCTATATACTATTATTAGAAGAAAACAATTGAAGTCTTGATGATCAGTAGCAATTCACTCACAGACATTCCAGCACAAGTGTTAATCTTGCCTAGCAAGAAAAATTGCTTCATATCTTAGTATTCACTAAGGAAAAGTTAGCCATCTTCAGTATTAGCATATGTAAGAGCCAAAGGTGAATTTGTAGGATATTGTAGTATGACTTGCTCTTTCATGATTGTAATTAAGTTAATTTGTAACAAATCTTCTCAATTTTCTAGCATCCTTACCAAATGGAAGGTAGCATTGAATTCTGAAGAACATAAGTTCTATCCAGAAACAAAAAAATGCTTCTAATCATTATCTGTAAAATAAAAGAAATTAAACAAGTTTTATATTTTGTGAAATTGAAATACTTGCTCTCAATAGAAGAAAAAAAATGAGTTTTATACTAGACTCTGAAGATCCAACATACACATAAACATATTTATCTGAAAATAAATAATCCTTGTTGAGGTGTCTAGCAAAGAAACACAATAGTCCCCTGACTTCTCTGCTACTTAAGAAATAATTGGAGAGCTGGGAAGGTGGCTCAGTGGTAGAGCGCTTGCCTTGCATGCATGAGGCCCTGGATTTGATTCCTCAGAACCACATAAGCAGAAAATGCCAGAAGTAGCGCTGTGGCTTAAGTGGTAGAGAACTAGCCTTGAGGTGAAGAGTTGAGGGCCAGCGCTCAGGCCCAGAGTTCAGGCTCCAGGACAGACAAAAAAGAAAAAGAAAAAGAAGTAATTGAAAGTATGAAAAGGGAATCAAGCTAGGTGCTGGTGGCTCACACCTATAATCATAGCTATTTAGGAGGCTCAGATCTGAGGATCGTGGTTGGAACCCAGCCCAGGCAGGAAAGTCCAAGAGACTCTTATTTCCAATAAATCACCAAAAAAAGCCAGCAGTGGAGCTGTAGTGCAAGTGGTAAAGCACTAGCCTTGAGCAAAAGAAGCTCAGGGTCAGCACCCAGGCCCAGTGTTCATGTCCCAGAACAAAAAAAGAGAGACTCAAGGATACTATACTTGTTATACAGAGCATCATAGCAATTTAGAAGCCAACTGGTACAGATAAAAGGTAGCAATTTAGAAGCCAATTGGTACAGATAAAAGGTAGTTCTAAATTAAATATTTCAAATATGAATTAATACAAATAGCAAATTTTGAGAGCAATTCACTTACAATCAAATATTTAAAAATTCAAAACTTTTTTCATCAAAATTGTCATATTAAAGTATAATAGCTATTTAATGTTTTAATTAGTGCAGTGGAATTGAAAATAAAAGAAAAAAAGGGAATCAAGGGCACACATACACTTCTTTAGCAACAGGGCTAGTAGATAAAAATGTCTTAAATTGTACCTGTGGCATATTGAGAATATATTTTAAGATTTTAATTTATGCTAAATACTGGTGGTTCACAATACAGTCTTCAGTACTCAAAAGGCTGAGCTCTTCAGATCAAAGTTCAAAACAGGCCCAGACAGAAAAGTTCTTTAGACTCTGTAAGTGTCTCTCTGTATCGTCCTTCCAGAGTATCCATACTCTGAGTGTGCCCCTGCCCTTCTGCTTCCTTTGCATCTGTTTGTCTGCTTATTTGCTTGCTTAGTTAATCAATAAAGCTCTGCCAAGTTTTCTTACAAAAAAAAGTCCTCCAGAATCTATCTCTAATTAACCAGTAAAATGCTGGATTGGAGGCATGGTTCAGGTCTAGAATTCCAATGCTAGAGAGAAAAGGCTGATGTGAGAACATGAGGCCTTAAGTTCAAGCCCCAGTACTAGCACAAAAAATTCAACTTATAAGAAATAAACTAATGTCAGAGTAGAAAAAAAAGATTTTGATCTGAATAAATTTAAAATACCATAATATTGAGCTAGGCATCAGTAGCTCACACCTGTAATCCTAGCTTATCAGGAAGATGAGATATGAGAATGACAGTTCAAAGACAGCCTCTGAGATTCTTATCTCCATTAATCACAAAAAAAAGCCAGAAGTATGGCTGTGGCTGAAGAAGGTAGAGAACTAGCTTGAGAAAAAAAAAGAAAGAAAGAAACAATGAAACAAACAAAAAAATGAGCTCAGGGACAGTGTCAGTCCCTGAGTTGAAAATCCAGGTGCGAGGGGGGGGGCCTGAGAAGGTGGCTCAGTGGTAGAGTGCTTGCCTCGCATGCATGAGGCCCTGGGTTCGATTCCTCAGCACCACATAAGCAGAAAAAAGAGCCGGAAGTGGCGCTGTGGCTCAAGTGGTAGAGTGCTAGCCTTGAGATGGAGAGCTGAGGGACAGCGCCCAGGCCAGAGTTCAGGCCCCACGACCAGATCCCCCTGCCCCCCCCCAAAAAGTGGCTACCACGGGGCTGCTCAAGGTGTCCAAGGACAAGTCGGCTCTCAAGTTCATCAAGTTCATGGAATTTACATCCATGTCCAAGAGAAACTGGGAGAAGCAGACTAGAGACCCTGTCCCCAAATAAACCTTTGTTCATGTTAAAAAACAAAAATAAAATCTAAGGTACTTTCAGAGGCAATCAAACAGTAGATAAGAGATAGCCTTTAAAACTGACTGAATGGACTGAGTGTTACTTAAGTGATAGAATGCTTGCCTAGCAAATATAAGGCCCTAAAAAGAAAATAATTAAAAAGAAAATAAAGGGGCTGGGAAGGTGGCTCAGTGGTAGAGTGCTTGCCTTGCATGCATGAGGCCCTGGGTTCGATTCCTCAGTACCACATAAGCAAAAAGCCGGAAGTGGTGCTGTGGCTCAAGTGGTGGAGCACTAGCCTTGAGCTGAAGAGCTGAGGGACAGTGCCCAGGCCAGAGTTCAGGCCCCACGACCGGACCCCCCCCCAAAAAGAAAAAGAAAATAAAGACTGGCAAAGTGCAACTTTTTAATGATGTAGTTTTTAATTATTTAATTTTAATTTAATTTTATTTTTTGTTAGTCCCAGAACTTGAACTGTGATCCTGAGCATTGTCTCAGACTCTTGTGCTCAAGGCTACCGCTCTACCACAGAAGCCACAGCTCCACTTCCCACATTTTTTTTCTTTGTGGTTAATTGGAGGTTAAAGTATCGAGGACTTTCTTGCCCAGGCTGGCTTTAAGCCCTGATCTTCAGATCTCAGCCTCCAGAGAGAGTAGCTAAGATTATAGATGTGAGTCACCAGCACCAGGCTACAAGGCTTTTATAAGTAACATTCCTATACTTGATTATTTTTTAGCTACCAAGTCTAAGCTGAAATATACTATTTTTTATTGGGGGGGGTCCGGTCGTGGGGCTGAACTCTGGGCCTGGGTGCTGTCCCTCAGGTCTTCAGCTCAAGGCTAGCACTCTACCACTTGAGCCACAACACCACTTCCGGTTTTTTTTTCTGCTTATGTGGTGCTGAGGAATCGAACCCAGGGCCTCAAGCATGCAAGGCAAGCTTGCTCTACCACTGAGCCACCTTCCCTGCCCCTATAATATTATTTTTAACTTACCATTTGCCTACAATGGTTTTGCCAGCATCTGTCAATCTTCTTTAGAAAAAGAACACTATCCAATGAATCCATAGTGTATGTTAAGGATATTTTAAAATGTTTAGTACAAGTAATATATGCAATATAAGCATATTTATCACAAACACAAAAAATTCTTTACATTAAATAAAACAATAACAACTAAAGAACAAAAGGTATTTCTTAAAATGCAAAAAAATTACGGTCTCTCACTAAGGCACCTTTAAAAATCAGTCCTACCATTACCTGACTTATGTAACTGCAATCCCTCTGTACATCACCTATATGATAATTAAATTTTTGAAATAAGTCTTACACATAATTGAGCATAACATCTTCGGTTTATCATTTTCTTACAAATTTGCTAGTACAAAATGGTAACAATAAGAGGAAATTTTACTTACATATGACAGATATATTTGAACTCTAATGCTAAAAAGTAAAAGAAAATTCTCTAAAATGCAAAGAACAAAAATGATTAATGTACAAAATAGACATTCCACTTCAAGCTGGGTTAAACAGTGAGGGGAAGGGAGAAGGAGAAGATAAGAATGTAAGATATTTTGTTTTTGAAAGGATATTCTCTGAACTGATGAATCTGCGCTTTGATGTGATCTTCACAAATCTGCCTCAGCTGTTTATACAGATTTGCAGAAATCTTGTAAGAACAAAGATTTTCTACAGCCTACAAAATAAAATATAGAATAAAACATAGAATTTCTTAGGGAGAGGGTAAGAAGTGTTTCTCAATTATCTACAAGAACTTCCTAGTTTGTTGATATTTCTGTAATACTAGCTTATTAAAAGTAATTATTCATTGGACACTGGTAGGTCATGCCTGTAATCCTAGCTACTCAGGAGGTTGAGATCTGAGGATTATGGTTCAAAGCTAGCCTGGGAAGGAAAAGTCCAAGAGACTATTATCTCCAATTAACCACCAGAAAACCAGAAGTAGAGCTGTGGCTCAACTTGTAGAGCTCTGCCCTGGAGCAAAAGAGTTCAGGGACAACACCCAGGCCCTGAGCTCAAGCCAGCCCCACAACCAACCAAAAAAAAAAATAGTTATTCACTAAGCTACTCACTAAGCTGATCCATGAAGATCACAAATTGGAGGCCACCATGAGCAACTTAGAAGTCAATCTCAACACAAGCTAAGATAAACTTATCAATGTAAGGGGGTGGGAAGGTGGCTCAGTGGTAGAGTTCTGCCTTGCATGCATGAGGCCCTGGGTTCAATTCCTCAGCACTACATAAGCAGAAAAAGACATAAGTGGTGCTGTGGCCCAAGTGGTAGAGCACTAGCCTTGAGCTGAAGAGCTGAGGGACAGCGCCCAGGCCCAGAGTTTAGGCCCCACAACCAGCCAAAAAATACTTTAAATATATATATATATATATATTGGGGCTGGGAAGGTGGCTCAGTGGTAGAGTGCTTGCCTTGCATTCATGAGGCCCTGGGTTCGATTCCTCAGCACCACAAAAGAAAAAAAAAAGCCAGAAGTGGTGCTGTGGCTCAAGTGGTAGAGCACTAGCCTTGTGTTGAAGAGCTGAGGGACAGTGCCCAAGCCCAGAGTTCAGCCCAACGACTGGACCCCAAAAAAATAGATATCAAAAGTGGTGCGTTTTTTCCATGACCAATATACTGTAAAAAAGAAATTAATACATATATAATAAAATAAAATAATATACTCACACATAGATTAACGATAAAGGGAGTTAAGCCAAGTTCTACATATCCAAGTTATAGCAACTGTCAAATATAAAAACTGTCTTTCCAAAATTTTAATACATTTTTTTTGCCAGTCATGGGGCTTGAACTCAAGGCCTGGGCACTGCCCCTGAGCTGCTTTTGCCCAAGGCTAGCACTTTACCATTTTAGCCACAGTGCCACTTCTAGTTTTTTCTGTGTATGTGGTACTAAGGAATCAAATCCAGGGCTTTATGCATGCTAGGCAAGCACTCTACGACTAAGCCACATTCCCAGCCATTTAATAATTTTTATAAGCACATCCATCTTAACTCTAAAATAATTTCACCAATACATTTTTTTTGGTCAGTCGTGGGGCTTAAACTCTGGGCCTGGGTGCTATCCCTGCCCTCTTCAGCTCAAGGCAAGCACTCTACCACTTGAGCTACAGCGCTACTTCCAGTTTTCTAGTTATTTGGAGGAAAGAGTCTTAGGGTCTTTCCTGCCGGGGCTGGCTTTGAACCGTGATCCTCAGATCTTAGCCTCCTGAGTAGCTATAATTACAAATGTGAGCCACCAGAGCCCAGCTTCACCAATATTTTTTGGGTTTTGTTTTTTGTTTTTGTCGGTTGTGGGGCTTGAACTCTGGGCCTGAACGCTGTCCCTCAGCTTGTCAGCTCCAGGCTAGCGCTCTACCACTTGAGCCACAGTGCCACTTCCTTCACCAATATTTTTATATCAAGTGAGCATTACACTGCCACTACAAAGAAATTTCAACTTACTTATACTTTCTTGGGTTTTCCTGAACAGATCAAAGCAGAAATTTCTGTTAGCTGTATTAAAATGAATATAATTTGTAAGGTATATTAAATAGGTAGGTTTCACTAGGTAGCTGATGAAGAGAACAACACAAGCTATTCAGGCAGGAGAAGAAGTTTATTTACCGAACTGCTGCCCCTACCATGCATAGTGGAAAAGCATGGCTGAAAAGGAAAGTGGGGGGGGGGGATAGGAAGGGGCCGACCCACCTCTGGGCCAGGACTTATCTAGGCCAGGGACAGGAAGAGATGTGGCCAGGTGGTGGAAAGGTGTGGCCACACTGGATCTGGATGTGACCTCTTAAGGTCAGATGAGAGGCATGTGATCAGAGGTGGCCAAGGATGTGACCTAGCTGGAGGGGAAGGTGACTACTTCCAGGTCTGCCAGTTACCTAGGTAACAAATACTGGGCGGAAACATTGCCAAGAGGGAGGGAGGTGTCCCTGTTCAGACCTTACATAGTTAAATACCAAAAATTTCCTCTATCATTCAATTTAAGCTTGTAGAAGCTTTACATTTTGCACAAAAGAATAAACATTAATTACAAAAGAAACTACTACATCTTTATTGTAAAAGTTGAAATGGTCCTCCATTACACTTAAAACCCACAGGACAAGTTCAGATGTTGTGAATTTCTTGTTATATGTCTATCAAAAGACAGATTTAAAACAACAGGAATGATAAAACTCCAATGAACTCATCTATAACTCAAACTAGTAATAACAAATATATCAAGATAAAACTTCCATTAAAATAGACTGATGAAGGGCATCTAAATTCTAGTTGACTGGAGTGTATTTATTAATAAGCAACTAACTGGAAGTCACATTCCTTGTATTCAGGTCCTATACATTTAGTAAATGTAAGGAAAACTTTAAAAGAATCCACTTATCTCATTGGGGAAGTCACCATATCTCACTAGGAATGAGGAAGTCAATTATCTCAACAGCTAAGAAGGAATAGGAAATTTTAGCCAAAGCAACCTGGAGTTAAGCCAGAACTATATAATGGTAAATTTATATTTATTTCTTGTGCCTATGGTAATTTTCTTTGTGGAGAATTCCTTTCTTTGTATAGTAGTATTCCTCTTAAATGACTTATTTTTTTCTCAACATTTATCATTTCCCCTCCTAGAATCCTGTCATATTACTTAGTGTATACTTCACCCTCTACTCTTTTCCCATTTGTAGAATTTATCTAAACACTACATATGCCATTTCCTTCTGTTATGTTTGCTTTCTCCCCAAAAGCAGTAGATAAACCTACCTTTTTACACATGATACCATATATTTCCCAACTAGGTCCCACTTCTTCCAGTAAGTTCTTAACTGTTCAGAAGCCAGTGAATCACATAGCGTTCTCACCCACCATATAACAATGACTTGTCACTGAATCATTAATGTCCTCGTGTGTGTGTGTGTGTGTGTGTGTGTGTGTGTGTACACGCGCGCGTGCGCACGTGTGTGCACACACCTGTCCTGGGGCTTGAACTCAGGGCCTGGGCACTGTCTCTGAGCTTTGTTCCTCAAGGCCAAGGTAAAGAGGCTGAGTACCAAATATTGTTCCCCAGAAGGAAATGGATATAGTGAAAAATAAAATGGCTAATTAAATTGAGCTTTATACACATACAACTTCACCTATCTTTAGTTGTAAGGTATAAGAATTTCTGCAAGTGATAGTGGCTCACACCTATAATCCTAGCTACTCAGGAGGCTGAGCCAGCCCAGGCATAAAAGTCCATGAGACTCCTACCTCCAATGAACTACTCAAAAAAAACTGGAAGTGGTGCTTATTGCTTAAGTAGTAGAGTGCTAGCCTTGAGAACAAAGAGGTTCAGGAACAGTGTCCAGGCCCTGAGATCAAGTGCCAGGACTGGGGAAATAAAAAGAATTTCTGAGGTTGGATAGAGGTACAGCTCAAGTAGAAGAACCTGAGGGTCTAGATTCCATTACTAGCAACATAAAAAGAAAGAAAATTTGCTGGATGCTAGTGGCTCATCCCTATAATCCTAGCTACACAGAAGGTTAAGATCTGAAGACATGATGGTCAAAGCCAGCCTGGATAGACATATCTGTGATACTCTTATCTCCAAATGCTGAAAGTGGAGGTATGGCTCAGGGTTACAACAACAGACTGAAGCAAAAGCAGCCAAACAAGAGCAAAAGTTACTAAGTTCAAGCCCCATTTCCAGTACACACATAAAAATAACAATTTAGCAGGCATTGGTGGCTCATGCCTGTAATCCTAGCTACTCAGGAGGCTGAGATCTGAGGATTGGGGTTCAAAGCCACCCCAGGCAGGAAAGTCCATGAGACTCTTATATGCAAAAAAATACTAAGAAAACCGGAAGTGGTGCTGTGGCTCAAGTGGTAGAGTGCTCCCCTTGAGCTGAAGAGCTCAGGGATAGCATCCAGGCCCAGAGTTCAAACCCCATAGCCAACAAATAATATTAATAATAATAATAATTTTTAAAAGTCAGAAGTGAAGTTGTAGCTGAAGTGGTGGTCTTAGAGTACCAGAGTTGAATGAGAAAGCCAAGCAAAAGTACAAGAACATGAAGATAATAATCTCATTATTTTAAATATTACTTGGTTTAAAGAATGCAAAAAACAAAATCCTCACTGTAAGATACTACAGGTGAAAATAGGACATGTACTTGAGAAGTGTAGAGAAAAATGGTTCCCTTTTTTCCCTTAATTTCACTAATAGGATCTACTTGAAGCATATTTGGGATGTAATCTACTCATCAGGGAGCTAATTTGGCTTAATATGGACTTAGAATTTTTAAATATGTTGCTTTAGAGCTCTAAAACAAAAATGCAATTTTAAAATAAAAATTTCTTTTATAAATACTCAAATATTTATCATTGATGATAACCTATATGTTACAGGAAGTATACTAAGCACTCTTTTGCAGTACTTTATTTACAATTAAATAACTTGATATTATAGGTAATGACAATTCCCCTCTTACACAAATGAGGAAAGTATGACTTAAACATATATCATCCAAAATTTTAGAATGGCAGGTAGTTTTGTAATCTAAGGCATAACTAATCTTCACACTCAGGAGGCAGAAGAATCATGAGTTCAAAGTGAGCCTCAGCTATACATCAAGACTAAGTCACAAATACAGGATTAGGGGAAAAAGGATCTCAGCCAAGAACAGGTGGCTCACCTCTGTAATCCTAGCTACTTAGGAGGCTAAGAGCAAAAGGATGACAGTTCAAGGCCAAACCGGACAGAAAATTGAAAAGACCCATCTCAAAAATAACCAGTAGCTGGGTGCCTGTGGCTCATGCCTGTATTCCTAACTACTCAGGAAGCTGAGATGTAAAGATTTAGGTTTGAAGTTAGCCTGGACAGGAAAGATCATGACAGTCTTGTCTACAATTAGTCACCAAAAAGCTGGAAGTAGTGCTGTGGCTCAAGTAGTAGATCAACTACCCTGGAACAAAAAAGCTAAAGGAAAGCACCCAGGCTGGAAGTTCAGGCCCCATGCTGGCAAAACAAATACAATGTTTACTTATTGCAAATGCACTCAGAACATTTTCTTTTCAGAAATTCAAGGCTTAGTAGACAGTATGTGAAACCCACACTTGGGACTTGCATCCTAAGTTTTAATCCAAAAATAGAATTTCCCCCCTCCCTCCCCCTGGGCAGTATGCTTTAGCTTTTTTGCTCAAGGTTGGCATTCTACCATTTGAACCACAGCAGTACTTTTTTGGGAAGAGGGGTTAGCTGAAAATAAGAATCTCACAGACTTTCCTGCCTAAGATGAGTTTGAATTGTGATTCTCAGATCTCAGTCCCTTAGTAGCTAGGATTTGAGGCTTGAGACACGGGCCACACTATCTTCCTTTTTGTAAAGAAAATTACAAGGAGCATTTAAAAAAATCAAGGCCAAACACAATAAAAGAGCTAGAAACAAATGCTTTTGAATTTATTGTAGCAGAACCAATAAGGTACAAAAAATTCAAAACAGTGAGAAAGAAGGTACACTTCTGACATCAGGTTAATGCTGTAATCAAACAGCAGGTAAAACTTCTCAAACAGCAGGTAAAACTTCTGAACTAAAGAAAGGATAAATGTGTGGAAATGTAGGAATAAAATGTACCCTGTTGGAATGACTAATATAAGCTACTAAAGACAAAAAAATTGAACTACAAAAAGGATTAACAGAATAAGGTATCAGGGATAATATATTCAAATCAAAAGCCCAAGAAAAATATTCAAAGTGGTGAGAGCTTATTTACAACTACAATCAACATTTTTGAAAGTATGAAGCAGCAAAATCTTGTGTTCACCAGCAGATTAATAGATAAATGTAATGGTAAATTTGACGAGAATCATTTATCCTTAAAAAGGAAAAGAATTCTGACCCTGGCTATAAGATGAAAGATTTTATGTTCAGCTAAATAAGATTATTAGCCTATATATAATGCAGAATTGGGGTTATATGTAATATACAATTATAAATAAGTCAGAATATAAAAGACAAGTATTATAGGATTCTTCTTTTACCCAAGACACCTAGAATAAACAACTCATAGAGAAAGTAGAATAGTGGTTGTCAGAGGTCTGGGGTAGAGGGAATGGGAAGTTAAGTGTTTAATGTGTAGAGAGTTTCAACTTGATTAAAAACTTTAGATAAAAAGAAGTATGAAAGATATAAAGTAATATAAAGAAATCAGAGAAAAACATACAACAGACAGTTGGACCCATCAGCTGCACTGGACATCAATCAAAATGAACTAAGCAACTCAATGGCAGCGATGGGAGGGAGGGAATGAGTGGGAAAGAAGGAACAGCTGACACTGTGCAAAAGGAAAGAAATGTACATACCACCTGATACGGAAGAAATAACTGTATTGTCAAAGTTCATAGAACTCATAAATTTTATAGACCATGATAGACAATTTGCCCCAGGAAAGTTAGAATGTGCTTGTGACATTTTTTTAGTTTAAAATATCTTCATTTTATTTCATTTTATTTAAAAATTTTTTTTGCCAGTCTTGTGTTTGTGACTTTAACTAAGCATTCACTATGCCACAACACTATGAAATTTGTGAAATTATGTAATCACTTAAGCACAATAAAGAATTTGCAAAGAAATTCAATATGCTGTACACTAACATACCAAAATAAGCACAATAAACATACAAATGAGAACATTTATCACATGCTCCAAATAGTTTTTTTCAGAAAGGAAAACTATTTAATTGCTTTGAACACTGTAATACAGTAGTACTTAAAATAATGTGGTATTGTCAGTAAGGCAGCAGTATAGCATAAAAATGTACCAAACTAATCCAGGCACCGGTGGCTCATGCCTGTAATCCTAGCTACTCAGGTGGCTGAGATCTGAGGATCATGGTTTAAAGCCAGCTGGGGCAGGAAAGTCCATGAGACTCTTGTCTCTAATTAAACACCAAAAAACAAGAAGTGGAGCTGTGGCTCAAGTGGTAGAGTGCTCACCGTGAGCTGAAGAGCTTGGGGACAGTGCCCAGGAACAGAGTTCAAGCTCCATGATATACAAAAAAATAAGTACCAAACAAGTAACAACTTGTCAGTTCAAGTTCCTTTGTTCTGTCAATAGCCAATATATGACTCTGGGGATAGTAACTGTTACCCTATTGACTTCAGAATGAGTCTCAATAATGCTTAAATGAGATTAATACAAGATAAATATGCTTTGTAGGCTATCTTGCTATCTTGTACATTATGTGAAGAAAAGTCATTGGATCACATATTTTAAAGCCTTCCCTACTCTATTTTTTTTCTTCTTTTTCTGTGCCAGTCCTGGAGCTTGAATTTAGGGCCTTGGCATTGTCCCTGAGCTTTTGTGTTCAAGGCTAGTGTTCTACCACTTGAACCACAGCTCCACTTCTGGATATTTTGTTTTTGTTTTTGATTTTTTGCTAGTCCTGGGGTTTGACTCAGGGTCTGGGCACTGTCCCAGAGCTGTTTTTGCTCAAGGCTAGCATTCTATCCCTTTGAGCCACAGCCACTTCTGGCTTTTTGTTTATGTGGTACTGAGGATTGAACCCAGGGCTTCATGCGTGCTAGGCAAGCATTCTACCACTAAGCCACATTCCTAGCCTCCAGGTGTTTTTTGAGTAGTTAATTGGAGGTTTCATGGGCTTTCATGCCTGGGGAGGCTTTTAACTGTGATCTTCAGATCTCAGCCTCCTGAGTAGCTAGGATTACAGGGATGAGCCACCAGTACCTGGATCCCCTGCTCTATTCTTTGCTCTAATCTTATAAATTCTATTTTTTTTGTCAGTCATGGGGCTTGAACTCTGGGCCTGGAAGCTGTCCCTCAGCTCTTCAGCTCAAGGCTAGTGCTCTACCACTTGAACCACAGCACCACTTCCAGTTTTCTGAGTGGTTTATTGGAGACACGGATATTCCTGCCTGGGGTGGCTTTGAACCATGATCCTCAGATCTCATCCTCCTGAGTAGCTAGGATTACAGTTGTGAGCCACCGGCACCTGGCTTGAAGGCCCTAAGTTTAAGCCATAGTATTGGCACACAAAAAACCTGGCACTAGAGCTATGGTTCAAGCGGTAAGAGTGCCAGTCGTGAGTGAAAATGGTGATCAAGAATGAGACACTGGCCTAGGAATGTGGCTTAGTGGTAGAGTGCTTGCCTAGCATGCATGAGGCCTTGGGTTGGATTCCTTGGTATCACATAAACAAATATAAATAAAATTAAGAATGAGAAACCATGACTTGAAGCGCCAGTATGGGCACATGAACGCACACGTGCGCACGCACGCACACGCACGCGCACACACACACACACACACACACACACACACACACACACACACAGAGCTAGGTGCCAGTTGCTCACACCTGTAATCCTAGCCACTCAAGAGGCTGAGATCTGAGGATCACAGTTCATAGTCATTCTGGACAATAAAGTCCGTGAGACTCTTATTTCCAATAAACTATTCAGAAAAAGCTGGAAGTGGGAATGTAGCTCAAGTAATAGAGCACTAGCCTTGAGCACAAGAGGCTCAGGGATAGCTCTCAGGCCATGAGTTCAAGTTGCAGGACTGGCAAAAAAAATGTCAAAACTATAAATAGTGATAACTAAACTACTATAACTTCTTACAAAGTAATCACACATAAAAGCCTCAAGATATTATACACAGAGGTATATTTAAATACTGAAATGCTGATCCTCTAAGGGAAAAGAACTCCTTAAATTAGTTACATGTGTTAAAAACATGGTAGAGCAATCTCTCTTGGTATGAAGTCTAAGTCAATGATTGCTCTCAACATATTCAAGTTAAATATTTCAAGTAAAGACCTATTTGTTATGCAAAAGAAACAAATTTGGGAAGGTGGCTCAGTGGTAGAACGCTTGCCTTGCATGCATGAGGGCCTGGGTTGGATTCCTCAGCACCACATAAGCAAAAAGAAAAAAAAGCCAGAAGTGGCGCTGTGGCTCAAGTGGTAGAGCCTTGAGCTGAAGAGCTGAGGGACAGTACCCAGGCCCAAAGTTCAGGCCCCATGACCAGACCCCCCCCCAAAAAAGAAAGAAACAAATTTGAACCTCAGACTAAGTTGCTAGACTACAACCTGCTGCTCATTTCTAGGTGTATGTCTTACAGTTGAGCAGAAGAGATGACAAGCATAAACAGCAAGAAAAAACTGGCAAACAGCTTCTAATGAGGCGGACTAAATGCTGTAAAGAAGACCAGCTATCTTGAAGTGCTTCCTGTAGGTGGATAACACCAAAGAAATGAGATGTGAACTGAAATCATCTATGCTATAGCACTTCATTATAAATAAAACATCTATCATATCAGAGTATAGCTATCCAAATCTTTATCAAGTGTGAAACTCTGTGGTCTGATTATAAAATAGAATGTCTCAACTAACGAGGGAACTGTAATTAGAAAGAAACCAAAACTCCACTTCAGAAAGTAAAAACCAAGTCAGGCATGGTAGTTCACACCTGTGATCCTAGCATTTGGGAGGCACAGGCAGTTGAAAACCAACATAGACTACATAGGGAGTTCCAGGCCAAGTCTAGATTATACAGGTAGCACCCTGTCTCAAAAACTGAAAAAAAGAAAAGAAAATCCATATGACTCCTACCACAATTTATGTAATTCAAATTTGGTTGTCCATACAACTACGTACCTGATAGAGTTCTTCTAAATTGTACTTAATCGAAGTACTATTCTGAATAGCTTCTACCGCTTCTTTCAGTTTCTGCCATGTTTCATCTGTGTAGTTTTCTGGTAATTTAGGCTTATCTAAATGATATGCAAAAGACTGGTATTAGAATAATGTATAGGCTATAGTAACTAAAGATACATAAAATCAAACAGAATTACTATTCCAGGCTCTTTGTAATTATTATGCTTAAATATTAAAATAAAAATTGTATTTAAGCTCAATATAAACAAAATTCAAATGGTAGAATACTCATTAAAATACAGAATACTATTAAAACTGAAGGTGAGGCTTTTTCTCTTATTGATTGAATTGCTTCAAAAAATAAAAATTCAAAAATGACAAGATAAAAAATAACAATCCTGATGTATTCTATTGTGAATAAAACTTAAGCCAACATCAATCTTGTTCTATTTTGTGTATTTTATAAAGTTATATTCCCAACAATAAGATGCCTAGGTATATTAATACCATCATTTTTTAAGTAAGAAAACAGGCCAGGAACTCATTTAGTAAACTTGCTCAAGGTCACCATAGTCAATGGCAAAGGTGGAATTCTAATGTAGGTCTGCTTGCCCCCAAAATTTGTGCAGCAATTACAGAAATGTAGAAAACATCTTCGGTTTTAAACCTCATTGACAAGTACAGTGAAATTTAAAACAATTTAAATCTTTAGATAACTTCAGAATCTATGCAGTATTCTCAGAATGGAAAGAGCCATCTTAGTCTTGACTTTAACTTCACTGGGCCAGCAATAAGTGAAAAAAACATTTAACTAAAGCATCCAAATACTTAAATACGCTTTTACTTCCAGAGGAAGAGAAAAATAAACAAAAAATTTGAAATCGGTTTGCAAATGCAATTAGGGTTACAGCTCATTTCTTTAAAAATCATTGGCTATCAAATCAATACAACTTTAAGTGAAATAATTAACACAGTCAATTATGATTTATATTCACTTTAGCAAGCTCTAGTATTGAATCAAAAGGAATATACTTGTGAGCCTGGGGATAGAAAGGCAGTGATATAAAATATAAAGGGTTAAAAAATACCATAATCCTCTGCTTGAGACAAAATAGAGCACATTGATTGATTTTCACTAATGTTGAAAACACAAGCACAGAATACTTAATTTTCTCAATGTTAATATTTAGCCACAAGACACTTATGTAGTAGAGTGCTTCAGTTCATTCATTTGCTGTCCCATTTAATAAACATTTTAGCAACTACTACCTGCTAGTTTAGTGTTGAAAAAGTTAGAAAAACAGAAACATATAACAGATTAAAAAATTAACTCAGCTGAGATTTTATTTTTTAAAGCAATGCGTTCATAATTCTTCAAGTGACTTATCGCAAACTCTATGAGTAAATTTTCCTAAAAGCTTCAGGTCAATACTTTAAAAGCTATCCTAGTGAAAAAAAAATGTAGTAACTGTTCCTATCTTTAGAATAGTGTACAGAGAGTTACTACTTCTGTGTATACATAACATGTTTCACTTCCAATACCTATCTTTGGGGGAAAATGCAGAGACTGAAAACATTTTGTCCAAATACTGCTGCCAGGATAAGCTTCATAAATATAGTAGTCAATATTATAAATCTACTTATATATATTTCGAGCATAAAAAGATCACATCTGCATTTCTAAAGATTGAAGAATGTGGCCTACTGAAGCAGAAAAAAAAATTAATGTCCAGGCTAAGTATGCACTTGAAATAAATCTCTTTAGAATACAAATTTCTCATCTGTTAAATCCTGATCAATCGTACTGTAGATTGTCAGTTACAAGGAAGAACAAGATAGAATAGCCTGAGACAAATAGAAAAACACTCTACAGAAATACTCAGTGTTTGCTTCAGCAAAAGAATACAAACCACACTCTAAAAAATGAACCCTCCACACGAAAAAAGGATTTCCCCTTCACCTCAATGATTATACATAAAACATTAGGCCACCTCTATACTGCTTAATATATTAACATAAAAGAGCACGTGACTACTCAAGTGTCAAATCCTTAGTAGGTGATTAGGGATTTTGGCCTTGGTTACCTTTAAAGTTCTTGATCACTAACTTCTTAGCAGAGCCAGGCTTGCTGTTAGCAAAACTAGAGACGGTGGTAGAAGATTTGGCTAGGCCGTTTGCATGATGCACCGAAGTCATAGAAGAAATTAATATACTCTTATTTTTAAGTTGCTGCTGCTGAGATGTAGCAGCAGTTGGTGAAGATGAGGAGGAGGAGGAGGAGGATTCCTCAGCCATCTTCGCATCGAACCCTACAAACTCCAGGGTGTCTTCAAAACGTAGCTTCTTCTGTATTGGTATGTGGCTAGAAGAAGCCACTGAAACACCTAGGCAGAAGGAGGAGGTTGAAGGGGATGCTGAATCCCTGGGTTGTAAGGGTGGAATGGATGAGAAGGAAGAGGAGCAATCAAAGTCTTCTCTCTCGTTACTACTATTAGTGCTGCTACTGCTGCTGGTGCTGCTACTGCTGCTGCTGCTGTTTAACTTTCTCTTCTTGGCAGAGGTGGGCGGAGTAGTGCTGGTATTACCATCAGTGGCAGATCTGACCTCCTGTGCAGCAGCAGCAGCTGAGGGATTGGGGGAAGAAAAACCTGTTGGAAACATGAAAATAGCGGGGTCAACAGGCAGAGGAGCATCAAAAATCTACGTTTATATATGCCTGCTTACGTGTAGGAAAGAAGGTGGCGGTATCAGAGGGGGAAGGGAAGAAAGAAGAGAGGAGAAACACAGAGGACGAGAAGGAAAGTGGGGGGGGGCACCGGGGAATGGGAGGGTTTGGGAAGGCGGTCAGGCTGACACCCGGAGTGAGCAGAACGAAAGGAGAGATCGAAGGAGGAGGCAGACAGGTAAACGGCCGTGCCGTCCCCCCTCCCCTGCTTTTCAATCTGTCTCTCCCCACTTTCTGCAGGAGCGACTCTGAGTCTGTGAAGCAGCAACTCCACCTCCGCCTTTTCTCCCTCTCCCTGGGAGGGGAGACGCTGTGGATGGGGGGGGAGGGGGAGGAGGAGAGAACCGGCGCTTGTTATTGTCAATAGCACAAGAGGCTAAAGATGGCGCCACTTCCGGTCACGCGGCGCCGAGGGAGGGACGCTGTCTGTCCCCCACCCCCCTCACCCCGGGCAGGGAGGGGGGAGGGGAAGGGTACAGTGAGGAACTACAGATGGGGTGGGGGAGAGCTGGCTCGTGGCGGGCTGGCTAACGCACTCCAGTCGCCCGGATTAGTACGCTCGCGCTCTGGTTCTCTCTCTTCTCTGGAAGCACCCTCCACCCCCGGCCCAACCAGTAATTCCCACCCTCTCCTTAAAGGTCCCTCAGGGACCTTCGCACTGCAGAGTCCTTACCGGAAGTGACTGGGCAGACACTTTTCATAGCGCCCAGATCTCAAAGCCCCCAGGTTCGCAGGACTACAGGGGGGGTTAAGGAAGAAAGGGGGGGGAGAGAAGTAGAAAGGAGGAGGGGCGGGCCTTGGAAGCTTCTGATTGGAGCTTTCTGAACCTGAGGCGGGCGGGCGGCGGACGGACCGCTGTATGTGTGTGGGGGGCGGGGGGGGGGGAGTCTACTGTAGGAGCGGGAAGGGAATCTGTTAGGGAAGATGATAGGTGGTGACAACGAGGGGCGGGGTGAGCTAGCTAGGAAAAGACAAGAAAAAAGGAGTAAAAAGTAGGAAACTCCGAGAAAGGAAACTTTGAAAGGAATAAAAGGAATAAGAGAGGGTTTACAAGGTGGTGGAGGAAAATATAATCAAGTCTTTATGCTTGATGCTAGAGAAGAATGTTGCACTATTACGATTAAAGGAAAAGACAAAAAAAGCTAAAGGAAAAGACCAAAAAAGGCCAAGGAAAAAACGGAGGTTTTGATTCTATGGAGTAACAAAAGTGTTTCTCTTTTATGTCAACGCTACCTCAGGCCGAATAATAAAAAGGAACCAAATTTTCATACTTTCTTCAGTAAGTAGTAAAGCTGGTTACATTCCTACCAATAGCTTTTCGATGAGGACTATAGCCACTAAACTTAACAGACAGACAAGCAGTCCCCACCATAATTCCAGGGATTCCCCCCCCTTCCACACAAACCCATCAGTCATTTGCAGACCAAACAAGCTAAGACTCACTCCCTTCATTTACTGAATCTGTTTATACAGTTTCAAAGGACACACTGTAGAAAAGAGTAATATTGGCAACACTCAACGTTTACTTTTTCATTACTGATAAAACAAATACTTTGAAATGTGATTAAATTAGCAAAATATCCTTGTAAATTCTCTACAATTTATGTAATCCTAGGGCATTTTCAGAGGACAGAACACAATGTCCAATAAACTACATGCCAACCTGTTGATCATTCAGTAAGCATTTATCCAGAGTTGTAATACCAGGCACCTGCCTTTGAAAAGCCAGTGTGTTAAGACAGTCAAAATGAATTTTCAAGCCAGGTGCTGTGGCTCATGCCTGTAATCCTAGCTACTCAGGAGGATGAGATCTGAGGATCATGGTTCAAAGCCAGCCTAGGCAGGAAAGTCCATGACACTCATATCTAATAAACCACTCAGAAAAACAGAACTAACGCTGTGGCACACGTGATAGAGTGCTGGCCTTGAGCTGGAGAGCTCAGGAACAATGCCCAGGCCCAGAGTTCAAGCCCCATGACTTACAAAAAAAAATATCCATAACACTGTTGTAAAAAAAAAGTACAAAGTACTCTGGGAACACACAAAACAAGCACTGTGGGGGAAAATGTGAAATAGGATCAGTTTCACAAAGGCAATCCTGGGATTCAAAGTAGTAGCTAACAAAGACAAGGAGGAGCAGGTACACTATGAGCAATGGAAACAATAACATGTCAAGAAATTGTGTGAAAATGTTTGCTTGGCCCACTTATGGAAGTATAGTTAGTCTGGAAAGTAGAATATCTGGTTGGAGTTGGGAGTATGGGAGATGACACACAAAAGTGCCTGGGACACCAAACCAAAAACTTTGTGTTGCCTATCCTGTATAGGCAGTGGTAGACAGCAGGAAGACAAGGCTTTTTTAAACAGAAGTAACAGGCTTAAAGAGTAGTGTAAAAGCTGCTGCTATGGTATAGGTAGTGATGAATAAAAACGGAACACTACAACTAAATCAACTTTATTTAACAAAAATTCTCTCCCCTTCCCTCTTCCTTTCCCTCTCTCTCCCTCTCCCTCCTCCTCCCCTTCTTCCTTTCCCTCCTCTACTCTCTAAGCTCAGACCATTTGCTTACCTTGCAGTCTATACCACTTGGAGTCATACCTTCAGTCCAATCTTTGTTTAAAAAGGCCCACTTGGGGTGTGTGTCTATCTGTCTGTGTGTCTGTCTGTCTGTGTGTGTGTATCTGTGTCTGTGTGTTGATTCTGAGGCTTGAAGTCAGGGCATGGGCACTAACTCTTGAGTTGTTTTGCTCAAAGCTAGCAGTCAAACACTTGAGCCACAGCTCCACTTCTGGTGCTTTTTTGTTCTTGTCCTTAGCTGGAGATCAGAGTCCCACAGGCCAGGTGCTGGTGGCTCTGGCCTGTAATCCTAGCTACTCAGGAGGCTGAGATCTCAGGATCATGATTTGAACCCAGCCCAAAAAGGTGAGTCCATGGGACTTTCTCCAATTTACCACCAGAAAACTGGAACTGGAGCTGTGGCTCAAAGTGGTAGAGCACTAGCCTTGAGAGAAAATGCTTAGGAACAGTGCCCAGGCCCTGAGTTCAAGCCCTAAGACAGAAGACAAAAAAGGGGAGGTGGTGTCTCACAGACTTTCCTGCCTGTACTGGCTTCAAACCATAATCCTCAAATCTCAGCCTCCTGAGTAGATAGGATTATAGCACTGAGCTAATTTTAAAGTATTTTTTTGTTTAAGATTTACATTTTGTTACACAAAACAACTTAGAAATTACCGGAACTATGTTTCTACTTGGACCCTGGAACCATTTTTTTATTGTCAGTCATGGGGCCTGAACTCTCGGCCTGAGCACTGTCCTTCAGCTCTTCAGCTCAAGGATAGCACTCTACCACTTGAGCCACAGTGCCACTTCTGAGTTTTTCTGCTTATGTTGTGCTAAGGAATCCAACGAGGGCCTCATGCATGCTGGGCAAACACACTACCACCTTCCCAGCTCCCTAGAACCAATTTTTTTTGGCTTGTCACGGGGCCTGAACTCTGGGCCTGGGCTCTGTCCCTCAGCTCTAAAGCTCAAGGCTAGCACTCTACTACTAGAGCCACAGCTCCACTTCTGGCCTTTTCTGCTTATGTGGTGCTGAGGAATCAAACCCACGGCCTCATGCATGGGTGGCAAGCACTCTACCACTGAGCCACCTTCCCAGCCCCCCTGGAACCAATTTTAAAAGAAAAATCTTCCCACTGTTTCATAAAACATGTTTTATATCACAATTCCACAATTACTGGGGAAGAGGAGCTGTGATTTATTATACCTGTAATACTTAAATACTCAAGAGGCTGAACTCTAAGAATCAAAGTAAAGTCATGACTCAAGTGGTAGAGTACCAGCAGTGAGCAATGCCAAGTAAGCCAGGTATTGGTGGCTCACACCTGTAAGCCTTACTACTAAGGAGGCTGAGATCTAAGGATTGCAGTTCAAAGCCAGTCCAGGCAAGAAAGCCTGTGAGATTCTTTTCTCCAATTAACTACTAAAAAGCTGAAAATGGCATTGTGGTTGAAAAAGGTCAAGCACCAGCCCTGAGCATAAACAAGATCAGGGGCTGTAATGAGGCCCTGAGTTCAAGCCCCAGGATTGGTACACAAAAAGCCAAGCAAGAAGACAAGGCCCAGAGTTACCAGCACAAAAAAGCATCAACTAGGGACTGGGAATATGGTTTAGTGGTAGAATGCTTGCCTAGCATGCATGAAGCCCTGGGTTAGATTCCTCAGTACCACATAAGCAGAAAAAGCCAGAAATGACACTGTGGCTCAAGTGGTAGAGTACTAGCCTGGAGCAAAATAAGCTCAAGGACAGTGCTGAGGCCCAGAGTTCAAGCTCCAGGACTGGCAAAAAAAATCAACTAGGCCAGGTGCTGGTGGCTCATGCCTGTAATCCTAGCTACTCTGCAGACTAAAATTGAGGATCGAGATTCAAAGCCAGCTCCGGGAAGGAAAGTCTGTGAGACTCTTATCTCTAATTAATCACTTGAGGGTTTGGAGGTATGGCTCAGTGGTAAGAGTATCTGTTAGACCCTGAATCTAATTAATCACTTAAAAAAAAACCTGAAATGGAGCTGTGGTTCAAAGTGGTAAAGCACTAGCCTTGAGCTAAAATTGCAGGGACAGCACGCAGGCCTTGAGTTCAAGAACCACGACCAACAACAACAACAACAAAAATCAACAAGTTGGGGATAGCTAAAATATGGGTACATACATATTCAATATACCCAGACTTTCTCAACCAGAGTTAAATGCATTCTAAACATTAAATAAAATGCATTTTTTTCAGGGCTGAACCTACTAATAATCAAACTGAAGTGTAGAACACCATACAATTATAGCCATTATCAAACTAAACCAGACTGGGCACTTAATACATATTTTATTTATAGAATCTTTCATGTTGTGAGTTCTGCACATACCTTCAAAACATTAATTAAAGTTTACAGTGTTTCCCAGTGAGGTGTAGTTATTGGTTTTCTTTTAACCAACCTTTATTTTAAAGGTAAACGTATTAATAAAGGGAGAAGTACAACCAAGGAGTAGCCTACCTGATCCATCCCCCACATCATTTAAAAGGTAGAGAGTATGGGCTGGGAAGGTGGCTCAGTGGTAGAGAGCTTGCCTTGCATGCATGAGGCCCTGGGTTCAATTCCTCAGCACCACATAAGCAAAAAGAAAAAAAGCCGGAAGTGGCGCTGTGGCTCAAGTGGTAGAGTACTAGCCTTGAGCTGAAGAGCTGAGGGACAGCACCCAGGCCCAGAGTTTAGGCCCCACAACCGGACCCCCCAAAAAAAAAGGTAGAGTATAAGCCAGGT